GATTTAGAAATTATTCAAAGTAATCGATTATTGGATAAAATAAATAAAATTGCAGAAGATGAAATTCTAACTACATGGAATTCAATTCCTGACACGTTTAATTGTTTAAAAATATTAGCAAAGACAATTAAATCTCTATTTTCAGAATTAAATTTTATAAAAAATAAATATAGGAATTGAATAACGGATGAGTCGAACTCTGCATGCGTACTGTTGAAATTAACTAAATATGAACCAAATATTAAATCTTTATCATCTTGTGTACAGCAACAAAAATTACATTAAAAACAATTATTTTTAACGTGAATTTTGTTTCTAGCATATTGCTTTTTGTAAAACATTGATTAATAAAAAAAAAATAAGAATTGCTTTTATTTGTTTATTTAATTATACTTACGTATAGTTTCACCACGCTAACATGCCGAATGAAATTTTATTGTGGCACGTTACCTATTTAAAAAAGAATTTTTATGACTTTGTGGCACGGACATCAAAAAAGGTTCGCCATCCCTGTTCTATATGGTTCAGTTATTCATACACATCAAATCATGCATCTTAATATAAAATAAGACGTGCCTGCATTCCCATTATTGTAACGCTTCATTTAAACAAGCCCTAAATTTAAAAGTATGAAAATAATACAGAAATTGTAAATGTAAGAAAGATTGTAAGTACGAGACAACAGATGTCTTATTTTTAATTTAATTACTATAATCTTCTTACACATACTATAAAATTAAATTACGGAATAATTGATTACTGTTTTTATGTTACCTTGTTTGTTTTTAAGAATCTTTGTACATATTTATAATTAATCATTGCCGACATCCTTACGTTAAATAGGTTTTAATTGTCTTAGTTAAAATTGAGATTAATAGAGGCTGAGTGAATTGAATTTTAAAGAATATTTTAGGTAAGCAGGGCCCTCCTGTGCTACGAGCCGTTAATTTCCGAAAATAACCAGTAACTTGAAAATTGCACTCTTTCATATGTAGACCATTGAACATTAAAGAATTTAGATATTCGTGTGCCTATTTTGATTGTCATCGTGTGCAAAATTTTATTCTTGAACGATTTTGTGCTATTATATGTTATTGTTATTTTATAGATGTTTAATTAATTTTGTCTGATAAAAGCTCAGGTTATCTGCTACAATCTTCTCGTCTACGACTACAAAAATACTGAATGACTAATGTAGTAAACAATTATTATTGAAACGTTTTCTCTACATATGTAATAAAACAATATTAAAAATAATTTAGAGCATTTATTCGAAGCACTAATTCCAATGAAGCTGTAAAGGAACTATTCTAGAGTGGTACACCTTGTATACGTGCATATTGTCAATGTCTGATTTCTGTAAAAGTATTAAGATACATTGGTGTATATTGACAATTGCTAAGTTTACCGTAAAGGCAAACAATTGCTTGCAGCTAAATGGGGGCATATCGAACGATTAAACTAATACTTTTAATTATTATAAATTGATATTGTTAATTATTTATTTTATTTTTTGTGCACTTGATTTCTAAAAATATTCTCAATTTGAACAGGTATTTTCATTTTCCATTCTTTATAAAAATAATATTCAATAATTGACATTGAGAATCAAAATGTTTAATGACAACACTATCAGTATGGGTGTTTAAGTTATTACAATTAACTTATATTATTTGTTTTGAAGTTCTGCTAAGAATTCGTAAAAAGTAAACGATTTTACTTGCTTTTTCAAACACAGTAAGTAGTTTGAAAATTAACGGAGATGGATATAGGGAACTCTAGTACCATTCGAAAGACAATACAATTCTGTATAAGGCTATGGAAATCTATACAGGGTTTTTCATTTTAAAAAATGCACTTACGATTTTTTGACGTTAACCAAATCCGCCATTAAATACCTGACACCCTGTATGTAATTAACCCAATTTGAGAGTATGTGAGGAAAGCTATCTCTCCTGAGAATAATGTTTAGAAGTAGGAAAGCTTTATAAAAGTCAACCTAACATCATAAGTAGATTTCAAAATCGTCATAATATATACGGCGTTCCATTTAAAATCATGAAGTTAATGTCAACTTCCGGTATAACCGGAAGTGCTACATAGATGCTGATATTGTAATTGAGTGAGACACTCTGTATAGCTAGAGCTTCTGTTTGTACGGGTGTTGGTAGATGATTAACTCAGTCCTGGTGTATGTTGACATTTACTGATGTATATGACCGAAATCGAATTGAAAAGATATTAGACATTCACTTATCAGCTGGAATAGTTATTGACTAGTTTATCTTAAAATACACTTCGCCTTGACTGCTCACAACAGTTTACAAATATACTAAATACTATATTACTTATAATTTCAGTATTCTGCATTTGTTTCCGTGGTCCGGAGTTATTGACGAAAATCAAGATCTCAGCGCTACTTTCCGAGTACCGGATTTAAAAACGGGCCGCATGGTACGATTGATCACTCAATTATCCAAAAAAGAAGAAGAAATGTTTAGAAACATGATTAGAAGAATTGACACAATTGTTAGGGTAATAAAATAAAAATTTAATTCTTTATATGCTACTTTAACTATTTAACCATTTTAATAGTTCATATATGTTCTTTTAATGTTATCAAATCGTTTATATAAAATTAAATACATTAAATCAACACTAATTAGATGGAAGTTGATATACGTTATAAATGAAGCACTGCTTATAAATTCCACATGTTTTTTTTTATTTTTTAACTGTTACGCCACTTAGTGACTGCTTCAAAAATTAATAGAATTACTTCAACTTAACGAAAAACTTAAAAAAAAACTTTTGATGTTTCGTTCCCATCAGCTACTAATGCTGGTGAATTACGCCAGAAGGTCAGGCCAAAGGTCCTCTTCAGTTTCCCTTTTCAAAATAAATGGTAATTAATATATAATCAACATCATAAGTTAAATGCAAGATAATGCATAATTTTTACCTATTCTGTCTGACAGAGCCTGCTTTTCTCTGAAGTTAAATTATAAGTAATCTAAAAGTCACAAAGCGGCGAAACAATCATGAAGTAAATATACAAAAGACATGTAAAATTATAAACAGTGTTGATTTATACAAGCAAATTGTTGTTTCGAAAAAATGTTCAGGCGCCTGACAGTTTCGAAAGAATATCGACCACTATAAACTTTTTGTTATTTTTGGTTACGTGCCTGGGCTATTCAGATCCTACTAATCCTTCATATGAGGTCACCACGGAAATTCATAATTCAGTTCAAGTCGATATCCTAAAGGACCTTGTTGAATATTTGAATTCCACTAGAGTGAAAAATCTTACAAAACTTACTTTACACGGTCCGTGAAAATTCGCGATAAATTGTAATATTTGACTCATATGTACATTTCTTTATATTCAGCGTAACCAGCTGCCTAGACTATGGTAGTTAGTTACATTATGACTACTACTTTTTTAGGCAGCACATGAAATGGATGTTCGCATTATGGTCGATGCAGAACAAACTTATTTTCAACCTGCTATTTCTCGAATAACTTTGGAATTTATGAGAAAGTACAATAAAGAGAAAGCTATTGTATTTAATACCTATCAGTGTTATTTGAAAGATGCATATAACGAAGTTACCACCGATTTAGAACAAGCAAAACGACAAAACTTTTATTTTGGAGCTAAATTAGTTCGAGGTGCTTATTTGGAACAGGTAGAATTTTAAATTCCTAATGTCTGATAAAGTTAACACGATTCTTAATCTACTACGTTTTCAGGAAAGAGCTAGAGCAGCAGCTTTGGGTTATTCAGATCCTACTAATCCTTCATATGAGGCCACCACGGAAATGTATCATCGGACATTAACTGAATGCTTACGAAGAATTAAAGAAATGAAAGATAGGGGAGAAGACAAGAAGATAGCTATCATGGTTGCTTCTCACAATGAAGACACTGTACGCTTTGCAATACAAAAGATGAAAGAAATTGGAATTTTGCCTGAAGATAAAGTAATTTGTTTTGGACAATTATTAGCGATGTGTGATTACATAACTTTCCCATTAGGTAAGAGTATTTGTTTATTAATTTAATAGAAATTAACTTATATCATACCAACATTTATAATGTGGTTATAAGAATTCATATTTATTCCGTTTATATTTTTCAAAATTGTTTAAGTTTAAATACTTATTTAATTCTAACAAATCAACTAGGGATAGCCACCTTCTAAAAATAATTAATCATAGTACTTAATAGTTTTATAAAAAAAAAACATGCGACTCTTACAGTAGTGGTTTAATATTAAAGTTTTGTATTGATTGGACGAAATTCACATATTTAACACTAATTTTTATAGAATTTTTATTGAATTTGAGTTTATCACAGATATAATATAACATCCGTACCATTCACGATATTACTCCCACCAACTGCAACTGACAGCTAAGATGTTATATATCATAAAAAGTCTTAAGTAAAATTTTGTTGTTATAAATAATTACTTCACAACCTATTTATTTTATTTGCATAAAATGCGTCGTGAAGTTCAAGATTAGCAGTTTGCAGAACGTGTGTTCCTGATTCTTTTTCTCTCTTTATTACACGTTTCCGTCTCATTTATGAAATTATCCCACATTCGAAAGCTATTATCTATACATCAAAAATATTTAAAACAATGTAGGTTATCTTAAAAACAGGTCAGTCTGGATATTCCGCCTATAAGTACATCCCATATGGTCCAGTTAACGAAGTTTTACCGTATTTATCGAGGAGGGCTCAAGAAAATAAAGGAGTACTTAAGAAGATTAAGAAAGAAAAAAAGCTTTTACTGAACGAAATTATTAGGCGTTTTAGTAAAGGACAAATATTTTATACTCCCAAAGGAAACTATGTCCCTGTTTAAAAGTAAGTATACTAGGACTCCGATCAAGTTGTGCTTTTTTTTATGTGTTTGTATTAAGAAGAGCTAATAATTCTCACAATATTATCTACAAAACGTTTCTATTAATAGGATTATTAACAATTAAAATATTGACCATTTTTAACAGTTTTCTAAACATTACCAGCGACCAGGGCCGTCTTTAACCTATTGGAGGCCCTGGGCACATAAGCCTACCGGGCCTCCTACAGCTTTGACAGAGAATCATTTTGGTTTGTTATTTGTTTCTTTATATTCACATAAATGAATATACAATTGTAATATGACTCGAAAAAGTAACTCTAATATCATTCTCAGGTTGGTACTTAAAATTGTGTTTTTTGAAAAGGCACCCTTCTAGTTTTCAGATATGCAAAATCGTCAACCAATTGTTCAAACTGTTTGTCTTTGAGCGTATATTTTTTATTCTTTTCCGTTTAAGGAAGGAGCGTTCGCCACTGCAGTTAGTTACCATCATGTTTAAAAAGATTCTCAATGCAATTTCTACATTTGAAAATGCGTCTCCAACTCGGTTTTTTATCAAAACTTCTGGAATACTATTAGTTTTCCAAATATAGACATTCTATTTCTAACTCTTTCTCGTTAACATCTTCATAGCAGCAAATTCTTTGCAACTTTGTCTCGGGATTTGGAGTTTTCAAGCGAAAAACAATGTCAACAATAACCAATGTCCTTGTACAAACTCAATCGCTGTTTTAGATGCACGCTTGGGATATCAGGTATTAATACATAGATTGTTA